GAGGTAGAAAAGCGACAGGAGCGAGGAGGGGAGGGAGGCGGCGGACCAGCCAGGGAATTGGGTTAGCGGCATAAGGTGGATTGTCATAACCGACGCGTTACTTCTCGCAACGTAAACGATTATATAACGGCGTTGGGCGCGTAAACGACGCCGGTGTCCGAGTACGCCTTAAAACGCCTTAAAACGCGTTCAGCCGGAAGCGGACTTTCTCCGCTGCTTCGGTCGCGCCGCGCCGCGTCGCCGGCAACCTTTTCCAACTCGCGCGTCGCGTTCGAGCTGGTCCCCTTCCTTCCACCACCGAGGTTGCGCGTCTTCCTCTTCTTTTCTTCCGTTGCTTCCGACGTCCTCGACAGTTCTTCGCGTCTACGCGCTGTAATTTCATCGCGCCAATTATAGAAAAATGCGAGTTTCCATTTGAACGTGCAATTTGAACGTACGCAGCGTATCCTACTTGGCCTGTTGGTTTTATCCTGGCCCGTACGATCACCCGTTTCCGAGAACCAGGGAAATTTGGTATTTCCAGGTAGCTAAACCGTTCGCGTCTTCGTTTTCCGTACGAAGACGGTGTACGTTAGCGTATTTATCGGAGGGAATCGCGTTCGCCGTAATTACCGTAGACCGGTGTCTGGCCGTGTAGCGTTCGGCGCGAGCCCTTGCCACGTCGCTACCGTCGTTGCAAAATCGCCGTTTGTTTTTATCCGTTTTACGTAATGCCGCCGATGATCGATATCGGATATTCGATGCTCCATGTTGCAGCGTATAAACGATACCGTACAGCTCGGCCCAATTGCTACAGGTTTCTCGAGTGGAGAGGGTCCTAGCGTGTCCTGCAGCAGTTTACCCACCATGACATCACCTATCACGCTCGCTCGAGCATGCCGCAACACTCTGCTGCCTACCTGCTTACCTTTTCCAATCTTTTCCTTCCCCTTCCCCTTTTTCCACCCTTCTTCTCTTTCCTACCGATCTCCAATCCTTCCGATCGACGTCTCTCTCGTCCACCGCGTACGCGATAGTCACGTGAGGATCCAGCGAAACGGAAGCGTATCCGAAACGTTACCGCCTTCTCTTCCCGCCTTCGTTTCCACTGGTTCCTTGCGCGTTCGTAGGAAATTTAAATATCGAAAGTAGGCGCGTCGGGCGCGTCGCGCGAGAATCGCGCCTGCAGGATTTTTGCAAAAGCCGTCCGATTTTCTACGAACGCCGTCGCTCCTCTTTCTCCGTCCACCGTCTCCCCTCCAATCGCGTCTACCATCGCGTACACACACTCTCTTCGTGATTTTCACTCGGCGAGACGACGTAAGCCGCGCATAAGGTGAAGGTATCGATTGCGCAACATCGATATTATGCAACCCGTAGCGGTTTCCTGCTGTTATCTAATTATCCGGAGTAGAGGAACTCGAAGAGAGGAGGTCGCGCAGCCAATAACGAACCTAATTCTTGGGCGCGCGAGCGCGATCGGTTCGTAGAGGTTTCGCGGGCCAGCTTCCTCGCGCTTTTGTCATTCGCCGAGCGAATATATTCGACGCGTCTCGATTCGACGTCTCGACCGATTCTTCTCGATCCTTGGGCCGGATCGCGATCGTGCGCGGCAGTTGGCAGAATTTTCGCGGCGTCGTAATTGCGCTACGCGGCCCACGGTTTAGGAAGCCGCGTGTCGTAAACAAACGATAAATTTACGCGGCGGCGATATTTATTAAAGATCCAGCAGAAACGATAGATAGGAAGGAGGAAAGAATCTGGACGGTTGACTCGCCTATTTTGTTTGGATTAGGTCATCGAGCTTTTCCAGTCGCGATATATATCCGGCTGATATATCGATACACGCCTACGTAGCCACGTGCTCGAGACACCTTCGAGAGAGAAAACGGCCGATAATTCCTGCTGCCAGGCTGGTGCCGCTGTCGTTCCTCGTCCCTCCTGTCCAATTTCTCCCTCTTCTCGGCTACGCGTTAATATTAATAGTAATAATAATAATGAGATGTCTCAGAAATGGAAGATAAGGATAGTGGCAATTTGTTTACTCGAGGAGGCGACTCTGGGTTCCCATTTTCGCGAAATAGTTCCTACTTTCGTCGTACTCTCGCATACTCTCGCATCGATCGCTCAGCGGCTACGTTATACAGCCGATGGTATCGCTTACACGTTGCTTAACCATCTGTCTTATTAATCGTTGCTTGTCCATCGCGGTGCGTACGGTAGGGCGTATCGCCGTACCGTACCTGGCTGTATTTGCATCTACGTTTCTGGTATATACGGATACATCGCTTTGAAACTCGCGCTTTGCCAGCACTCGTCCGAGTACGGTCTTCCGGACTTTACGAGGAAACGCGCGCGAGATAGCCAGCCTACTCTGCGAATACGCGGAGCGGTTGCGAAGAAACCGTTGGATTAGAAAGAAAAGGCGACGGCGATCGGCGAGGTCGTAACCGACGAGGAGAAGAACCGTCTGTCGGCTGGATGGTCGTCCAGGAAGTAGGTGCGTCGAACGTAGTTCCTACCGTGGAGGCCGAGACGGTTGTAATAGCGATCGGCATTGTCGTGGTTGCCGTATCGTCGCGTTCGG